CCCTGAAGGGTAGAGTGTACAATGCAGCGGTACGTTCGACCCTACTGTACGGTTGTGAAACCTGGCCGCGGCGGATCTGAAGAGGCTAGTTACGTTCGACCACCGGTGCCTTCGTAATTTAGCTCACATTTGGTGGGAACACCGCGTGAGCAACGAGCGTGTTCGACGCCTTGTTTATGGCACAGGAAAAGGAACTGAACCGCTCAGCACCGTTATTTCACGCATCAGGCTCCGATGGCTCGGCCACGTGTTACGCATGCCAGCCCACCGACTCCCGCGACGTGCGTTGTTTGCGCGATCCTGTGGTGTGCATGGAAGAAGAGGAGGGGTGGCCAAGCGATGACTTGGTCCAGAGGAATGAAGACCCTCACTTCTGAGCTGGCCTCGGTTGGAGTGTCTCGGCTCCCTGGTTGGAGTCCGAAAGACGATGAACACGTTTGATTGGACACACTTGCTGATATGGCTAGGAGCCGACCTCAGTGGCGTTCGTGCTGTGAGTTTCTTTGTCCCACCCCATCCCTCTTAGCCTCCCCTCCCAACCACCATCTCATTACTTAGCCTTATATAATTTTGCATAATAATTTTTTTGGGTGCACAGCAGCCGGCTGGTAGCTTACCGAAACGATGCCCATCCGTTACCGGTAGCTCAGGCAGGTTTCACCAGTTGTTTTTTTATCTCTCCTTTTTTCTGTGTATTGCGGCACAGTAGCTGAGGTGTTCCCCACCTCTAGCTAACGTGTATGATGATGATGATGCTGAACACCAGCGTTCAACAAGTCTTCTAGAGCATTTTGGAGGACATCCTCAATGGCAAAGTTGAAGAGGAACGGAGAGATAGGGCTTCTTTGTCGAACCCCACTGGTGACAGCAAAGGAAAGCGAAAGCTTGCCATAAGTCTTAACTCTACCCGAGGTCAGACTATACAGAGCACACAGAATGCAAATGAACTTCCCGGGAATACCATTCCTCAACAGACAGTGCTACAATGTAGCCCTCTCGACAGTATCGAAGGCAGCACGGATATCCGGAAACGTAACAATCGTTGGCTTTTGCTACATATAGCGGAACTCGAGAATCTTGCGGCGCATGAAAATCTGATCGATGCAGCCGCGACCTAGGCGGAACCCCGCCTGTTCTTTTTGCTGTAGTAACTCACGCGTTGGGGATAGCCTGTGACCAGTGATGGACACTAGGATTTTGCAAACGACGGGAACTAAACTTCTGCCCCTGTACTTGGAGCAATTTCTGCGCAGGCCCTTTTTGAGGATGGGGACGACTACCGACTCGCTCCCGGATGATGGAACCCCCTCTTTTGCCCAGACTTCTGAGAACAAAGCGATGATTTCTCGAACCAGTGAAGAGCCCTCATCTTTAAATAAAGCGGAAGGTAGACCATCAGGACTGGGTGCCTTTTAACGCTTTAGGCAGCAGTGTTCCCGCCAGATTTCCTGGTGAGAGGGAGGATCAGTTAGGATAGTACACTCATCACCATTGCCTACCCCAGTGGAAACAGATGGAGCTGGCGGCCAAGAAAACTGCAAGCGAAAATGTTCGGCCCATCGCTCCAACACTCATTGAAGATTAGTGATTAGGGAGCCATCATCTTCGCAGATTGTTTCGCTTACTTCTGATCCGAAGCCTTCGGTGATTCGGATGAGGTGGAATAGTTTTCTGGTACTACCAGAGAGATTAGCAGCTTCAAGCTCTCTAGCATGCTCACACCACCAGGTCTCACGGTCGTTCTATAAGCTCATATGCAATGCTCCATCCAGGGATCGGCGTTCCTCACTATAGCTGGTGTTGGCTGGGATCAAGTGGCGCCTGTCTGTCAGCCACAAGGAGGCAGTGGTGATCCAACTTTTCAGCGTGCGACAAGCAAATCCACAACTAACAATATTGTCAGAAATTAAGGCGTATCCATTGCGAATTGAGGCCATCGTTAGAGGATGAAGCAAGCAGTGTTGAGAGAGAAGCCTGGTACTTGGCTAACGTCGCAGGTTGTTGCAGATTTTTAACATTCGATCGGTAGTGCGTACATCTGGATGATCCTCCGCAATGCACGCAAATTTTGGTGCGAAACACTGCGTGATCGGAGTCCAGACAAGTTGACCAGTGCGATCGGCAGACTGTTACGCTTCCGCGCCATCCGTAGCTTATTGCTATGTGGTCAAGCTGGGACCATTCTTGTGTTTGAGAAGGCGCACGCCAGGTAGCAGTCTGTCTTTTCGAATGACGAAAACTTGTACTCGAAAGAAAAAAGTGATGATCAGAACAAAGAATCAGTAGTCTGTATCCATTGTCTGATCAGCTGCTACCAAGGCCAAAACTACCCCCAAGATGGTGCTCGTTTGGTGCCAGGTAGCCCACTCATGCGTTAAAATCTCCGGCAGGAAAGACAATGTCAGACTTCTTAGCGGAACGCAGTTGTTCATGTAGCTGTTGGTAAAAGCAATCCTTGACTGTATCCGGGCTGCAGTCTGTAGGTGCGTAGACGGAGATGACAAACAAGGCATGCGTAGCATCTTGATGCTTCCTCAACTTACATGAACCTCGTAGTCTGACTGCACATAGTCGACTGTTGACTGGGATCCAGTCAAACAAAGTGACCTCAGCCCTGTCACTCATTGCAACCCCAACACCAGCTTGGCTAGAAGTGGCGGCCTCTGGGTCTCCAGGAGAAGCGCAAGTGGTATTTGACGTCAGGGTTTGCCGGGGATGTCATTCTTGTGACGGTACTGGTGTCTTGCAACCTGGTTTCGGAAAAGCAACAGATGTCCACCGTGAGTGTCTCAAGCGTGTGCGGGTCAGACATGCTTGTCGTCCGATCTGCATCAGAGTGCGCACATTGAACGCTGCAAGGCCGAATGGAGAACCAGGGCGAAGGAAAGCTAGGGCTTCGGTTGAGTGTGCAAATGTTGTCATCACCGGGCAAGTACACTAAACGTATGGTTAGCTTGTCGAACAACTTCGTGGTGCCAGCTGGGTGGTTCGGGATTATTCCGTTCCATCGAATGGTTCGGCGACAGTGTTCCAGTACGGGATGTGTTTTCGCCTGGCAAGCGTTCTCCCTATACAAAGCCACATATGTCCGTATAACAACACTGTGACGTTGCGGATATGACTCGCCATGAAATAAAGTCACTGTCCGCTCACTCTGAGCGGCATTGTAATTCAAGGGTGTGTTGTGCCCCTGGTCCTATGCGGTCGTAAAGGCGTATAAACCAGTTGTTTGGTCCCTTGCTTCCAACGGGTTGCAATACCCTCATATCGCCCTGCTGCCTTCTAGGTTAGATTCTGGATTAAAGGCTCCCTAAGACAACTATATACTTTGGCCTGGGCAACCGGGTATTTTCACGCCCACTGACAAATCATGGATGAATTACACTACGGCTTTCCCTCTTGCCATATCTACTGGCTTCATTGTATCTTCTGCTCAGCATCTGCTCACAGATCGTCCCACGTCCCATTCTTCAACTGCACCCATGTCGTCCCCCGTTTCCGTCAACAGCAGCTCACTGGTTGCATCTGACTGAGTTCTGAGTCAAAAACCGTGTAGCAAAAGCTCGGGGCGTTTTTGGCACTCTTCCTCACTTATGGCGCGCGGGCGCCATTACCCATGCCCTGAAGGGTGTAATCTAACATATGTCATTCCGTATGACTGTGAAGCCTGACCCATCAGATCGACAGTTGTAAAAGGCTAGTTGCGTCCAATTGCTGGTGCCTTCGAAGTTTGTCTGAGAGGATTGGTCAGGCTTGATGGGGGACCTCCGGATCATCCACAACAATGGCTGGAGACCCTTTCAGACATGGCGCAGTCACGAAATCAGTGACACACCTGCATTCGGTTTCTTTCATGTGGTTGTTAATTTTCCTTCTATTCTGCTTAATCTAACGCACCCCTTTCTTGCTTCCATTTCCTCTACATTCTGTTTGCATCCAACCCCACTACCTCGCCGTTGTTATATTTTGTTATTATCGCGATGTGAGTCGTGGCAACTGGATCCATGGCGCTTCGATGGTCGGGTCAAAATTGTTCAACTGAACTGCCTTCACAGTTTGGCCCATATCGGGTGGGAATACCGCGGTAGAAATGAGTGAGTTCGCCGTCTTGTTTATAGCGCAGGTAAAGCAAGTGAACCGCTTGGCGCCCTTATTTTCACACCAAGATCTGATGGCCGGGCCGAGTGTTACGCATGCCAGCGCACACCGACTCCAGCGGCATGCGCTGTTTGCGCGACCGGGATCTGGGTGGAAGAAGAGGAGGGGTGGTCAGCCGACGATTTGATTAAGAGAAATGCGGACTCACTTCTAATTTGTCTTCCATTGGTGTCACTTAGCTCCAGACTCATGGTCCAACCAACGTTTGATTAGAGACGGTTGTTGACATGGCCAAGCACCGGCTCCATTGGCTTTTGTATTATGAGTTTCTTTATCATTCCCCCTCACGCCTGGCTTCACCCTCCAACCACGATCTTATTCTTGATGCATACTAAAACAGACGCATAAAATTCTCTTTTGTTTCGGTATTGCTCTCTCTTATCACTACACTCCACAACGCGTTTCGTTCTAGTCTGAACTCATCGGGTTTAGATAACTTGAGTTTGGCACCGGCACATGTTGGTTTCAGGTTATCGCCATGATCACTGATTATTGAGATGACTACAAACGACGAAACGCGTTGTGGTGTGTAGAGAAGGGAGAGTGCAAAACCGGAATCCTCCACTTTAGATGCGGTCCCATATTTCGGAATGGCAGATTCTTAATTTAAATTCAGCCGAGGATTGCGTGTCGTAGTCTAAGACACGGCGGGTACTTCAACATCCCGCAATCTTTGTTTCCTTTTTCACTACTATCTGATTGCTTTGTATTGCAACACAATAACTGTGGTATTTCTCACCTCTTCGTAACGTGATAGTGTAAAGATTGCAAACACCCAACACATTGCGCTACTTTTTTGAGCCGATTTTACCCCGAACTTGTTACCGCTCTTCTTGCTTCCAGCCTTACTTAAGCACTGATTCATCTGCCCAACTGTTTGTGTCCTACGGTCAGGAGCTCTGTGTCTCTTCTGTCAGCCCACAACGGACTTGATTTCTCTTGCTCAATGCAGTCTAGAACAAGTCGCGGTACAGCGACTACTAAAAGTCTGTTCAGCTGTCCTGTTCTTCTTATTCTTTTACACAGCTGCAGTAAATTTGGATGACTCCCGAGCCAGATTCCAGATCGAGCTGGAATTCGTACAGTGTTTAGCCAACCCGAATTATCTCAATTGTATGTGCCGGTTGTCTGTTGTCATTTTGCAGTTCTAGCCCAACAAGGATGCTTTGAGAAGCCGGCGTTCATTAATTATCTGAGTTATCTCAGGTACTGGAAAGAGCCTGCTTATTCTAGATACCTTCTGTGAGTCTTGATTTCTTTTGCATACCACCGCAGATCCCTCTTTTGATTTCCCAGTTTTCGAGATCCTCGTTTCCTTTCTCATCTTTTGTCTCATTTTCTCAGGTATCCTTATTGCTTACACATGCTAGATCTGTTGCAGTCAGCGGAATTTCGTTCGGAGCTTGCCCGGGGTCAAGTCTGTCGATATCTAGATGATCAAATCCTCTTACACTGGCAACACTACATGCGCAAACGTGCTTTTCTGCTGGCAAAACACGTAGAGGATCTGGCCGGAGCTACTTCGGTTTCTGCTTCTACAGCCGGTGGCACAGAGCCCCATGCAATCACCGCATCCTCTACCACTTGAATTCAGTCTAGTTCACATATCCCGCAACTTGCTGACTTGTGATTCGGTGTTGCTCATTTAATCACCCCCGATGTCCGTTCTTAAATGCTTTAATATCTTCGGAGCTCTGTATTTTTTCGATTTATGGATTGTCGTTGTCGAAACTTGTTTATATCCCCCGACATTCTCCCTCTTCCCTCTTCGGCCGAACTGCTTCAGTGGTATCGTTTACTAAATTTTGTAGCCTCTGTTGCCTGCCTACACCATCATTTTTTCTCAGGCGAGTTACCTCTCCCACTCATGACTATGGAGTCTGTGCGCCAACTGAGTAGTGAATCACTTCTGGTCAGAGCCCTGTTTTGTCCACCTTAGTCGTTCGTCTCGAAGTCTTTCGTTGTTCACTGACGTAAAATATTAGTTCACTTTACCACTTAGTTTACTTCGTTTTACTTATCACGTTACTTTATTGTAATGTAACGGAACGGCCAGAGACAGACCAGTAAGTGAGGAATCAAGTTTTTTTAATCATGTTTTATTCTTGTGCGAACAGGAATGAGAGCATAGTGGCAACGAGGGTTGGAAGAAGTCCTGTGGCAAATGTGGGTCGCCTTGGGGCGGAAACGGTGTAGGGGAGCAACGTTATTGAAGCTTTATAATTCGTGAGTACTTGTGTTTCGTGCTAATGTGTTGACTTCTCCGTTTCCGAGGCAATATGGACGTACGTGTTCTTGAAATGCCTCAAGTTCGCTCCCTGGGGACAGTGCTTCCATAAACAAGCCTGTTCACCCTCTCCGAGTGCGATCGTCTCTTCTGAACCCGTTGTAGTCTTATCGTCTTTTTTGAGCAAGCTTTCGCCTATGGGAGCGAGTTGCCGGATTGATACTGTTTCCTCTCTCTCGTCTGAAACTCGAACATGTGCGTATTGATAGTTACACTCTGTAAGTTCCACTTGTTCTACGAGATGATCGAACTTGGAGGACTGGACCTTCTCCAAAATGACTGCGATGATAGCCAGGTAGGAATGGAATAGCCAGAAGAAAACATCCGATTGTGTTGGGAAAATCTCTCTTGCGGTGTCGGATCAGGTAGGACAGCATGCAATTGATCAGGTGGAACGGAGTGTTTGGGGAGCGAAATCACTCAACGGTATTCCGTTTTGGCTTTCGACCTACCCGTTAGCTTGTGCATGCTATGCGTTTCGACTTGTTGTCATTCCTTTGTTATGGAGCAAATTACGCAGTTCACGCGACGTAAAAGAACAACCCCTGTCTGAGTGAATGTACGCTGGCATGCTTATCATCGAAAAGAGCTGACCGAAGCAGCTTATCACAATGGAAAAGTCAAATCGGAGCATGCGAACCCGAATGGCTAACGATTAGATGTTGTATTACGAATGAGTAGACGAATTTCGGTATGGTTCAAGTTAGTTCATCGCAATTAGATTCCAAGCCGCATAGGTAAGCTACTAATCCGGAAAAGCACCAGACGCGCGTTTCGCTCTATTGGGGCTCGTCAGTGGTGCGCATCAATCGGTCCCCTACTGGGTATCGAACCCATGACTGCTATAGGCTAACGCCAACTATCCGGCAGCTTATGCCACTGAGCCATGGGAGATGACAGCCGACCATTACGAAATGAAACTTAACGGCGATATAACCCGACCCATCCTCCACTGCCCTACAGGTTATTGCTCGTGCAGAGGACAGTGGTTGGCCGTCACGGTCAGGTCTTCCCTTGCCAGCACCGTGAATCCACACAGCAATTTTGAATACTGGTAGGGCTTAGATTTTGGATTACGAATGAGTAGACGGATTTCGGTATGATTCAATTTGGTTCATCGCAATTAGATTCTAAGCCGCTGTGGATACGGATAACCGGTGCAGCCACTCTGGTCACGATACAGCCACTTTTCAAATGAGAAGACAAATGCGTCTGGCGGAACTTGTATGGAGCACTCGGAAGACAGAATGTACAGCCAAAATATTGGGTCGAAATAAACAGTTCATGTGAGCAAGGACCTAATTGAAAGTTCCTGACTATAGCAACTACTAGATCCGAAGAAACTCGCTTGTTGGCCGAGCAAGTAGTGTGCTTACTGGAGGGCTTTAGGGTAGGTCATTCGGATTGGTCCACCTCAAGGTAAAAAGATGCTATTGGCTTACTCCCATTGGTTAGCCAATCGGCTACAGACGGCATACAACCAATCTTCTCCGGGCTGCTCCAGACAGAGAGAGAGAGAGCTAGCTTCGATGGCTGCTATGGACGGGCTCCGGTAACAGACTCATCTACAATTGTTACTAGATGGCAGTTTCGATATTTCGAGGGAAGGGAGCCTTCAAACTCAATATTGATACATTCAAAGAGTTAAGTTGTTTTACCAGTGGACTCAACATGAGTTGACTGAGCGTCGGTCTCAGCTCACTGCAAACGGCATATTCTGAAAGCATGGGTTTGAGTTCAGTCACAGAATACGGCAAGGTTTTAGCGCCGACAAAATGAATCATGTAAGTTGTGCCCGAGCGACACAGACCAAATCATGGGGTTGTTTTAAGTTCGGATTGGCAGACGAGCTGCTCCATTACTGAACTTCCGGATCGGTCCATCACATTGTAGTAAAAGCGCGCAAGCTCAAGCCTCCGGCGTTGTATTTTGCGTTTTTTTTACTTTTCTTTTTTCATACATGAAGGCCGCAAAACGTTGGGCTTGAAGTGATTACGAAGCAGTAGGTGTCGCCATTTTCGCACTGTCTCAACGATAGCATAGGCTTCTTACTAGCAGATAAGGTATGAGAAAAGAAAACTACCGACCTTACCTCCTGCTTTAAGATAGCCGAGATAGCTACATCACGCCTGTCTCAAATACTAAAGGTGGATGAAGGTCAGCAGCCGTTGGTACAACACTTCAGTTCTTTAAATCCTGAAAAGACTTTTGGGCAAATGGTGTGGCATGAGAAATATTCCGTTTTGTGAACCGCCTGAGCTAGTGTTGTCAGAGTAATATTTGGTATCCATTGGGAGTAGTAAGCAACAACTATCGCTATCACTTTCCTTGATGTCGGTGAGCGGAAACAATTCTTACAACTTCTCAATCTCTGGGTTTGGATTTCATTATTTTTTCGAGATTTCATATCCCAGATGCTTAACTTGCTTGACCCGAACACGCTTTTTGCGTCATCGGAAGCGATGCCATAATTAAAGCGACGTTCAAGTCATCTAAATTCTGTCTGTGTAATTTCACTGATTCATCACAATCCGGATAGTCTAAACCCAATCTGATAAAGCACTGGACGATCGTTTTGCCTTATTGGAGCTCGTCAGTGGTGCGCATTTTCGCGGTCCCATGGGTGACATCGAACCCATGACTGCTCGTAGCTTTACGTCAGCTAGCCAGCGGTTTATGCCACTGAATCACGAGGAACAGAGGCAGACCGCCATAACTTGCAAGCTAACTGGGATGTAATGCAACCCATCCTCTACGGTCATGCAGATTTCTACCGTTGCAGAGGACAGTTGTTGTCTATGCTGACAAATTTTCTTTTGCAATTCTCTCATCAATCGTACTTTGAAAGTGAGCGACGACGTTGGTTGCTCCGAAAGGCATGCGACAGAAATAATAAAGTTTGCTACGGATCATGTACGGTCGTTCTGCAGGTTTGATGAGGAGTTGTTGGTAAGCACCTTTTAATTCTAAGATATTGAGCGTTTCAAACGATGTGGTCCTCTGAATCTTCCTGTTCAGTCTAGGCAGGGATAATCATCGACATACCCGAATCGGTTTATCGTTTGACTGTAACCTATGGTAATTCATCGTTTGACTTTTCAGTATTATTGACCAGTACTTGAGCTCGATGCTGGTTTTCTGCAGCATTTCGGCGTACTGAGACTTCGACATTAGCGCTAGTGAGACTGCGAATACACAAAGGTGATTTCTTGTCATTGACCGAGACTTTCCATTCTCACATAGTCGGAAGAAATCGTGCCCTCGAAGGGTGTCTGAGCACAGATTATGTAACACGGAAACTCTAACGTTGTAAGTTTTCCTTTTATATGTAACTATCACATTGCAACGCCCAACATCTACAGTTCGGTTGTGATGTGAAAATTTATTACTCATTCAGGAACTTTTATGAATCATGGCGAATACTTATCTTTAGCAGTCCAAAAATTCCCATTTAATGACATGAATCAGAGTGTTGAGTTAAGAATTCTTTTCATTAAATCTCATCAGACTCAGACACTTACATAGTACGGGCTGCATGATAAATGTGCCGAACGTGGTTGAATATTGATCAGGTTGTTCAATTTAACGACCTAATCGAGAAATCACGAAGTCACTGAAAGTGGTAAATTTGGAGCAAGGGAAATGTAGTTAGGTACGTTATTTTCACGACTGATCAAAGGTCAACATGGGTAAAAAGAAAGTCGCATGATCATGTACTAAAACATGTGGGCCACGGTAAGATAACTGGGGTACGAATTGTTCCTGCATACACAGCTCCGGCTTGGAGTGGCAGAAATAGAGAGCTTCAGCAACGTTGGACAGCGTTTTCGGAATCCGCGCGATAATCCCTCAAGAATAGAATAGATAACTGAAATACTTATCAGCGCCTGTGTGCTCCAAATGTGGGGTGCCACATATTTGAACTATTAGAACACCTTACTTCGCCTATGTAAAACCACTTCGGGATGTGCTTACGAATCCTATGAAATAGCGCCTCGTAGGACGGCCCACGTATTGTGCACCACAGGAGCACCAGTATTGATGATAAGCATTAGTCGCAAGCAGTCTATCCGTTAAAGGTATTACGAATATAGGCTTGCCATGGTTTAACGTGCGTGGGCGAGCCGTGAAATACATCTCAACAGCGTCTTCCAGGCGTTTGGTCGGGACAGCAGCTGCAGTGTCATCTTTTAATGCTAAATGCACAAAACACTTTCTTGGACACTCTCATCCTCTGTAGTCTTATGTTACTTTCTTTAAAATATTTGAAGATGAGTTTATTCGAATATACATTTGCTCTTATGGCGTCGCTGACCCTTTGTAGTTCCTCGGTAAAGTATTCCAAACACATCTATCTATTACCGAAGCTCTATTTCTGCTACTTCAAGCCGGAGCTGTGTGTGCAGAAGCTATTCGTAGCCCAGTTATCTTGCCTTAGTCCACCACTTTTGGTACATGGTCATTCGATTTTCTTCTTACCCCTGTTGGCCTTTGTTCGGTCGTGAAACTAATGTACCCAATTATCTTTCCCTTGCACCTAATCTACCGCTTTCAGTGATATCGTAATTTTTCGATTTGACTGTTAAGTCCTAATCAAAATTCCGTGCAGAGGACGCGGTAGCCCCCTCACCAAGCGACGAGCTTACCAAACGTAGGCCGCCAATTAACTTATAGCATTATAAGCAGTTTGGTCTGCGTACTGGTTACAAAAGAGTCGTAGGGGGAGTTGTATGGTATAGGTAGAAATTGTCATATATAGACTCACGCAGACAACCGCCACACGTCCGGAAAAATACTACACACATTTC